GGTCCCTGGGCTTCTCATTACGGTGGCTTTTCTTGTTGCAGAGCACGGGCTCTAGGGCATAAGGGCTTCAGTAGTTGGGGTGCCTGGGTTTCGTTGCCCCATGGCATGTGGAATCTTCCCAGACTGGAGACAGAATGGGTGTATCCTGCATTGGCAAGCAGATTCTTAACCACTGGACCACCAGGGAAGTCCCCAAGAGGCAAAAGTTTTGCATATACCTTTTGAGGAAAAAATATAAGAATGTACTCTTTCTTTCCACAAATATTATGAAGCAAGTACAGTACAAACCTACTTTTCTTGGGGGAAAACTGAATTCATCTGAAACTTGAATGTATTTCATTTGGAAAGTTGACTAATCATTCCACACTGATTCATCCAAGGAACATTTGTGAAGTGCCTACTATGTCCAGGGCACTGTATTGGACACTGGGGATGTGGCAGGACAGAGCTTACAGTCTGCTAAGGGAGTCAGACAATAACCAAACTAACAGATAGATAACAAAATGTTAAATATGTAAATGAAAAGTGAAATTGAAAGCGTTAGTCACTCAGTCATGTCCGATTCTTTGGGATCCCATGGACTGTAGCTTACCAGGCTCCTCTGTCCATGGGATTCTCCAGGCAAGAATACTGGAGTGGGTAGTCATTTCCTTCCCCAGGGGATCTTCCTGACCCTGGGATCAAACCTGTGTCTCCTGCATTGCAGGCAGATCTTTTACCATCTGGGCTACCAAGAAAGTCCCAGACGTGTAATTCATACAGCACAAATAATGCAGACCAGAGCTGAAGAACTGTGCTGGGAATGCTCTCTGACGCATTCAGCTGAGCTCTGGAAATTTCTCTCTCCTTGGCTGAGTGAGGGAGCCCAGGAGGCTCTGGCCTTGGCAAGATCTGCACTCACGCTGGCCTGAGCTAGAACTGTTTCTTGCTCCTGTAGAGATGAGTGGTGTGAGGAGGAGGGTGGGGAGGGGCTTCCAGTGGGTTTTAGGAGGTTAAGCGTGAGCAAGCGGGTATTTCCATGCAGCTTAGGACAGCCTGGGGAGACTGTGCCCTTGGAGGGCAACCAGCAATCCCTCCAGGGACACGAGTGGGGAAAGCCCCTCAGTTCACATCAATCATAGCAGGTAATTGCTAAGCACCTACTATGAGCCCAGAGCTGGGCTTGGGGCGATAAAAAATGTGATTCAAGTAATAATGTAAGCCGCTGCCTGACCTCAAGGAACTCCAGTGCTGTTAGAGATACAGGATGAATCTCCATGAAAAGAGAAAAGCAAGACAGATGGGGTGCAGTGTCTGTGTGGGTGGAATGGGCCTTGGGTTCATTTAGACGGCAAGCCACTCAATCTGTCAGTGGCAGAAAAAGTGCCTTCACACAGCCTGCTGCAGGCCCAGCGGCTTCCAGGGCAGTGATTCAGGGATCCAGTGGTTTCATCTCATGCCTCCCTCTTCCAGGTGACAGAGGGAGAGACGCTGGACCACCACTCACTAGTTCTTCAGGGCTTTAGCCCAGAGCGGGCAGAGGCACCTCCCCTTGAGGCCCATTGGCCAGAACTAGTCACATGACCGCAGACAAACTGCAAGGGAGGCTGGGAAATGGGGGCCACAGGGGTACGGAGAAAATGTCTGAGAATGAAATGTCTCTGCCACAGCCATTTATTGACACCAGGACCCCGAAGGCTGATGGAGGGAAAGGAGTTTTAAAGGGGTATTGCAAAGAGCAGGCAAATGCCATGCTCTGGGGGGGAAAAAAGCCCTGGGAGAGACTTTAGGAGAACTGTCAGGTGTGCTACCTCTTGGCTGGGTGTCTCAAGTCACTGATCTCCTCCAACCTCTGTTCCTTCTTCTAAAAGGTCCCATCTGGAATCTCTTAAGAGAATGTGTGTGAAAGGGATCTCTGCATTGTTGAGAACAAATGTAATATCCCTATCTACAGATCAGCCATATTTTCTCTGAGGTTCAGTGCAGCCCTAAGAGACACATTCTGTTTCTACTTCCAGGGCCTCTGTGTCCCACCTGTAAATCCAGGGCATAAATTCCCATCTCATCCTTCTCCGCTGAAGTGCCCACATGGGCCTGGGCCCGTGCTAAAAGCAACACTGGGAACAAAGACTCATCCTCCGAATGTCTTGTCGTTTGCATTGTTCTAGTAACACACCCGGGCTTGTCTTAGCATAAGACAATCACATTCTTTCTCCCCCAAAGCTCCTTAAAAAGGCAGCTCCTACTGGAAAATAATATTTTTTAAAGGATGTGTATATGTGTATAATTTAATCACTTTGCTGGACAGCAGAAATGAACACAATATTATAAATCAACTGTGTGTGTGTGTGTGTGTGTGTGAAAGTCACTCGCTCAGTCATGTCTGACTCTTTGCAATACTTCAACTTAAATTTTTTTTTTAAAGGCAGTTCCAGACAAGTGCCCCAGGTTTATTTATCAACTTCGTCTGGCTGGCCCGGGGCATGTGTGTCTATGGGATGACCTTGGAGCCTGGGACTGAGATCCTTCCACTCTCAAATCCCAAGGAAGTCTCCTCACACAGTCTCCCTAGAAGGAGGCCCGCAGCTCTTATTCCTGTGGCTCCAAAGGACACGAAACATACCCCGTGATGAGCCCAGTCTCACCCAGGACACGTGCCCTCACCCAGGACATGTGCCCTCACCCACCGCTCATCCCTAGCCGTGAATCGGTCCTGAATCAAAGCGCTTGCGCTGGTCTGAACTCACTGAGGGCCTCCTCCAGCGGCTACTTCACATCCACTGGATTAATTGCAGCTGGGGGGAGGGGAGGGAATCCATTTTTAGAAAATCATTACTTTCAGAACGAGAGAGGGGGGCGCTTCTGGTTGCGAAAACTGCTGAGTTGGCAACTCAAGCCTGCTGCTCCAGCGCCAGCAAACCTGGGGCCATGCAGGCTGCTCAGCTCGATGGGCACTGCCCGGAGCCCACGCCCCCTTCTCCGGAGCCTGGGACACCCTAGGCCCCCTCCCCGGTTTCCCGCCGGCCCTCACTGCCTGCTCTGACCTGGACTCGGCAGTTCACTGGCACTGTGAGGAGCAGGGAATGGCCTCAGTATTGATCACCCCTGCTGCCTTTTCTCAGCCCTCTGGTTGCACAGCCCCTGCCTGTAGCTCCTAGGGAAAAAGAAGGTTGGGGACCCCTAACTGCCACTGCTTTGAATTGAGCATCCAGTAGATTAAATGATATGAAATTGCCATTTGGGGGAGGTCTAAACCGTCAGATAGTAGCAACCCCACCTGGTTCAGCCTAACCACCCTATGGCTGGCCCTTCAATGCATTTCCTTACTAATTCCCCCTTAGCCCCATGAGGCAGGTATAATGCCCATTTGATGTTTCAGAAACTGGGGTTCAGAGAGGTTAAGTGACTTACCCAAGTGAGCACCCCCGCCACGGTCTCTCTGACTCCAACACCCAGGACCCTGAGTCACATCCCATGAGTCAGACCCCACACCCACCTGCCCCGGCGCTTGTGCGGTCACTGTCTAGAGCCGTGCTTCCAGGGCAGCTGCGCTGACAACACGCAGGCGGACAGAAAGATCCTCTGGAGGCTGAGGGTGGGGGCCTCACCATTAGGAAGTCTGCTTGCTGTGGGCCTGGTGCAGTTCCATCCTTCCCCGCCCCCAGACTATATGTGTGGGTGTCCTGGGCAATTCACTCACCTGTGGGAGGGCCGCCTCTTCCAGAGCTGGCCAAGGTCTGCCTCTGTGTTGCCACAGTGGGGCCCCGGCAGGGCGTGCACTGGGAAGACCCTTGGTGAACACAGATCTGTACACACCTCAGGTGCTCAGCAACCAGATCAGCCTGGTCCTTTCGACTGGACCTTGTTTTAGAAAAAAAATATTAGCCCTATTCTATCACTCTTGACCCAAGTCTGCCCATGGAGATGAGATAGCATAGAAATGATGAAAGCTGACACCATCACTTACCACCTAGGGGACCTGGGCAGCTCTCTAACCTCCATTTCTTCATGTCGAACAGGGCCTCATGATAATGTAGATACTTTTAGGATGGTTGTAAGGATTATACAGAATGATACCAATGTAAAATGCCTGGGACACCACTTACTGCATAATCAGAACACAATCAGTGCTGGGTATTATTATTATTATTATTATTATATTTCCATTCCAAGCTAAGCCCACAATTCTGCCTCTCCCTCCCTCGTTGGGACAAGCCCTGTCTGAACACTGTATTAGAAATTTTTAGGGCATTGGATCCTAAGAGGGGCCCCAACTGAGATCCCAGAGTGACAAAAACTTGCTGTTCAGTAGGGGAGAGAGGCTCCTATACCACTGATGTCTCTTTAGAGCAGAAATTCTTACGGGAGAGGTTTCCTGAAGGAGGTTTAGTCTGAGTTGCATCTTGAAGGATAAGAAGTCAATTGAAGAAGGAGCTGGAAAGCTCCTGCTTAGAAACACATAAGTAAGGTGTGTTTGAGGAACTACAAGTCACCCTGAATGCGGTACCAAGACCGAGGGTGTGTGTGTGTGTGTGTGTGTGTGTGCGCGTGCGTGTGTGTTGAGGGGCTAAAGCATGAGATTGGTGGGGGCAGATGCTGAAGGGAAACCTGGAGCAGAGGAAGGCAGGCCAAGGAGGCTCTAGACAGTCCCAAACTAAATCATACTAGTGGGGACAGGGCAAGGGAACATACGTGAGAAAGGTTTGCATCTTCTAACCGTGGACGGACTGAGGCAGGGAGGACAGGCTCTGGTTTGTGTCTTCATGATGGGGGTGGGCAGCTGCAGCCTCATAGGAGGGGGGAGATGAAGGTACCTGAGTGGTGTCATTACCTGGGGACAGGATGTGGCCTGTGAAGAGAGCAGAGTGCAGAACCTGTGATGCACCCCAAATCTGACTGGTGAGCTGAGAGAGGAAGGAGAATCAGGTGGCAGGAAAACTTCCTTTCTAGGGAGCGTCTGGTCTGGTCCTTCCCTCCACGAATCTGAACTCCCATCTGGGCTGGAGGTCCTAGTTCCTCACTTAACACATTCCGCCCATGCTGCTGGCCACCCTCAGGTGTAGGCATCTTGTCCTCCAGCACCATCAAGGCCACATGCCCTCTGCACATCCTGGCACATGGCAGGTGCCCAGGGGCTGGCTCTGGTAATGGCTGCTCAGTGCTGTGTACTGAAAACATGGGGTCTCCTGTAAGTACGCCTCTTTCCCTGACTGAGAGTCAGCAATCCCACTGGGGCCCGCTTGCCAGCAGCCCAGTTCCAGCCTGATGGGCTGAGAGTCAAGTCCAGGTGACAGAGGAGGGTGTGAAGGTGATGCCACAGCTCTTTCCTCTGGACCCAGAGGCCTTGCCCATGCAGCTCGCCCGGCCCACAGCAAGCGGCCCACCTCCGCCTGCTTTGAGGCACCCCAAATAACATCTCTACAGAGTATGGACTAAAAAGTAGGGCCAGAATTGGGCCCTGCCCCCCACCCCAAGCACTTCCTCACCAGGTGAACTTGGACAAGTCCTTTAACCTCTCAGAGCCTTCAGTTTTGCAGGGGGTCCTAGTGAGGATTAAATAATTCTCTTAAATGCTTAACATCGTGCCTGGCAACCAGCTAAGCATTCAATAAATGGTAGCTATTATTATTATTAAAGAGCTTCCTGGCATGCTGATGCAAGTTAAGAGCAAACAAAAATGCCTTTGACAGCTCCCTAATGTAACACCTTCCACCCCACCCCTCCTCCACCACTACCACCCGGGAGTTAATTAGAGCCCTCCTTGGGTGTTTTCCAGACATGGGATTTTACACTTATTCCAGGTTGCAGAACAAGAATAAGTGGAGGCAGGTTTCAGTTCAACTGATGAAGAGCTGCCTTGAGTGGGGGTGAGTTCCACATCACCTCGTGGAACAAGCTGGCCCGGATGACCATCTGGCTCAGCTGGTGGCTCAGACGGTAAAGAATCTGCCTGCGATGCTGGAGACCTGGGTTCAATCATTGGGTCGGAAAGATCCCCTGGAGAAGGGACCGGCTACCCACTCCAGTATTCTTGCCTGGAGAATCCCATGGAGAGAGAAGCCTGGTGGGCTACAGCCCATGAGGCCGCAAAGAATCTGACACGTCTGAGCTACTAGGCATGCACACACACATTTCTTGTTGCACAATTGTAGAATTCCCTTGAATTAAAGTAGCAGTGCCAGTAGGCTGTAACGCTTTGCATCAGTTGGCAAAATGAAAAATTGGCCATCCTACTTTGGGCCTGCAAAAACTTTTTTCTGAAATTGTATCAGTTTGTGATATCCAAAATCTTAAGGTTCAAGACTCTGAGACACGAAAACAGCCTGGTTTGGTGCCTGATTTGGACCTATTTCTTGTGTGAGAGGCCTTGACTCTAAAATGTAGCTCAGATCAAGCAGTGGAAATCCCAAGGGCAGTCCTGGAGGGGCAGTTTACCAGCAGACGCCACTACGGCTAAGCTGGTCCGGGCCGAGGGATGAGAGATCTGGAAGAGTGTTCGCAGAGGCACTCCTTCCAGCCAACTCCAGCTCCCCAAGTGCCCAGTACAGAACTTGGCAGACCTTGGAGAGACCTCCGCCCACCACCAACACTCAGCCTCTGCCTCATCTCTACCCCAGGGCCTCAGCTCTCAGGGAATCTGTCCTGGAACCCAGGGTGGCAGTGACCTTCCTCTGGGAAAGTTGCAGTATTCTCAGGATTTAACGTAAATCGAGGAGTTAACAAGCCCAAGTGCTTGGGGCTTGCCTCCCCATGTCTCAGGGCAAGCTCATCCCCATCATTTGAGATGACATCGCCTTTTCTCAACTCTTCAGGCTTTGAAAAATCAGCTGCCTTTGCAACTCAGGGCTCCCCAAGGTAGACCCATTACAAATTGAGGACACCCACCAGCTATACCCTAGGGTGACTGCCTAAGGATCTGAGGAAGACCAAGCAGTTTTGGATGTCTCTCCCTTCTCTGGTTCCCCCAACCAAGCTTCCTCCCCCACCAAACTCTGGGAGACCCCCAAGTGTCCTGGATTCTGATGGCTGCATCCTACCCTCCTCCCGTCAGAAGAAAAAGGAGCTGGAGGACAACATGGAATCAAGTATACATTTTAAAAATTGTTTAATGGAACATAAACTCCTTTAGAAAAACATTCAGCCAGGTGATAACACCCATAGAAAAAAACACCAATCTTGTGTTTATCTTTTTTAATTTGGCATTTGTTATTTGCATTTATATTAAAGCAAAGTGCATCTTTTCTTTATTTTGTTTATACACATTGCACAATACATAAATAATGATGCTTATAAAACGTCTTTATATTTACAAGTAATAATATATTTATATATAACATAAAATACATTTTTTCTTTAATAAATCTCAGGTTTTGTTTTTTTTCAGGAGTCCTTTCTCTCTCAAAGCACTACAATGCTAAATTTCCAATGAGAATGCTTCTCTTGTTCATTTAAACCTTTGTAGTTAGAAAAATAGCTTATGTTAAAGTCTAAACATGCTCATTGAGCTAAGAGCAGTGTCAACGTATCATACGAGTGTATGAGTTGTAGAAGAAATGAAAAGGGTTAGGTGTCAGCTCAGGATGGTACCTTGGGTTAAGATGGACCGAATCCTTCTTGGTGGGAAGGGGTGGGGGGTGGGGGGCTGCTCCCCTCGCTGGTCTAACAGCAGAGCTCAACACACAGGCTGCGGAGGGGAGGAAAGTGCTGAGCTGGCTTTGTGAGTCCAGGAAAAACCTGATGTAACCAGGGCAGGGGAGAGGCGGAGGGGCCTGAGAGGGCGCTTGGGTGAGCAATACTGTGACGGGGCTGCCCCGGCAGCCCTTGGGAAACCCATCTCAGAGACGTCCAGGAGCAAATGGCCAAGACAGACAGCTATGACGATGGCAGCGGGGTGGCCAGAGGGGAGTGGGGCAGCACGGGGAAACGGGCTCTGGTCCAGCCTCTGGCGGGGTGACTTCGGAGAAGCCTGCGGACAGGCCAACGTCTGAGAAGGGGCGAGACGGGGTGCGGGCTTCCCCAGGCTCTGGGGACAGAGCCTTCTGCTGGGGAACCCGCTGCCCCACTGAGCGTGTCCGAAGGGCAAAGGAGACACAAACCTCTCAGCGGGAAACACGCGTAGGAAACACAGCACACCACTTCCCCTTGTCTACATACACGCACACGTGCACTCACGCGCGCACGCACACACACACACACACACACAAGGGCAGTGATGACCCCAAAGGTGGGGCCTGCTCCCCATTTACATGGTGTTCAGTGGTACTGATTTTTTGCTTCCCCTTTTTCGTATCGCAGTGTTCTGCCAACCATACCACTCTCCCCTCCGCCCAAACCCCAACAATTCTTTTCATAAGCTATTTCTCAAAGAACAAAACAGAACATAAACAAGGATGACGAGAAGAAGGAGGGTGGGCGGTGGGGGTGGGGGGAGAATAATGACCAAAGAGTTTGCATGAAAAGCAAGCACTCAGGAGGGAAATATTAGCAGCAAAGTAGTTTGGACTGGGCCCGCTCGGCTCCCGCTCTGTCCTCTCCCCACGTGGCTACCGGCTGTTGAAGATGACCTCCAGCCAGCACGGGCAGCTGCTGATGAACTGGCGAGTGTAGCACTGGCCCCAGCCCTTCACGAAGCTGATCTGCACGGTGAAGCCAGTCCACGGCTGCTGCATGAACTCGTGGTCGTTGGGCCGCTGCAAGCTGTATGCCTTCTCGTAGTCAAAAGCCTTGATGGAGAAACCGGGGAACACTTTGTGTACCAACAGCGTCCTGGAGTCCGGATTGTCCAGTGTGGCCGACTTGATGAAGATGGGGTAACTGCTGCGGTTGTACACCCACACGCCGTCCACTTCCCGCGTGAGCTGGATGCCACAGCCGATTTTGCTCCGTACTTTCTGCACCAGCTGACTCTTGTTGTCCGAATTGAGCTGTCCGAGGCAAAAGCCATTCCCCTGAGGTAGATCATAGAAGATGTCCAGGGAGGGCTCCTGGACACAGTAGAGCCTCCCCACTCTCGTCTTCTCCTCCCAGTATGCCACCACGCACCAGTGTGACCGATCCCCAGGCTCCAGAAGAAGTTGGGAATCTGGAAGACAAAGGCCCACATGGTCAGTGCTGATGGAGACTGGCCTTTTCCTCTTCCTCCCGAAACCAAAACACATACACACATACCCCCACAATTGGTCTGTTTCTTGGTGCAAGACAGAAGGAGGTATGAGGTGGGTGGCTGTTATGCAGGCTGGACACTCCTCCTACCGGGAGTCTGGAAAGCTTGACCCAGTGATGTAAAAGCCTTGCCTCTAAGCATGGGGCTCGGCTGGGGAGTCTCTTCCCTCCATTCCCCCCAACTCTATCAAGAACACAGGACATGTGCCCACCTGGCCAAATGCAAAGCCCCATCCTTGCAGAGCTCAGAAACCAAGACCACTCAGTAACTTGGCTGGCCCTGGTTTTAGGGCTAGAGAAGGTGTTACACATGGATGGTCCAGAATTTCAGTTCTTTTAAACGGGATGGAACCTTGAAGGCCAGTGGCTCCAGCCTCAAGTCATCCTCATGAGAAAACCTAGACTCAGAAAGCTTTTCTTCCCCTCAGGCTCCAGAGACGAAAGAGCCAGACCTGGACCCCAGGACCACCTGCTAGACAGTCTCTGAGCTTGTCACCCGGTTCCAGATCAGTGCTTTGGTCATAAGGGATCACTGTCCAGAAAAACCTTAATGGAGGTGGTTTGGGGTAAAACAAACAAAACTAAACTAAAAAAACCTGTCTTCTTAATAGAAAAGCAACTCTCGGCGTGCCCATCAGCAGCAGATCTGTATACAAAGGGTGGGTTCACGTCTCAGTGCCAAATCACCGCATGCACCCTGGTACCAGAGCCCAGACAGAAGACAGCACGTCTACAGTGGGTTCGGCCATGCTTGCAGGCCCTTCTCTTTCCCCCTCCCCCTCTCCCCCCTCCCTCCCAGAAGCAACTCAACCCTGTGCCCTGCCCCCTCCCATCACCCTCCTCCCCTGGAAGCCCCACCCCTGCCTTCCTAGACCTTGCTTCTACCCACAGGCAGCAGGGGAGACTGGGGTGATTCTGGTAAGGTGATTTTTCCTGAACCGGTGCTGGGGGTGGGGGTGGGGTCTTTAAAAGGGGGATCCAGGGAAGGGAAGGGGGGCCTCCAGCGGCTGGCATTCCAACTCCTCCTTCCTCCTTAAGCTGGAGCCGGCGGGGCAGGCCTCAGACTGGGAGCCATAAATCTCCCCCAGCCCGGCCAGGCTGCAGGAACGCTGTGGTTTGTGGTGGCAGGGCGGAGACCGGAAGTCTTGTATTTGTTAACAAAAATGGGGAAAGGCCGGGCAGGCGGCCTCCTCCTCCTGCCCTCCCTGCAGTCCTTGCCTCTCACTTACTGGGCTGGGGGGCTTGGGACACCACGGTTGGGGGTGGTGTGAGACTTCTCTGGTTGGTTTGGGCCTCTTTGATTGTGGAACCCCTGGGTTTTAGTGCCTGGGTGATGCCGAGGTATCAGCACAGAGGCCAGGGCTGGAGCAGGGATGGAGCCCGGTGTCCTGCTGCCCCGGCAGGCTGGGTAACCAGCGCAGCGCAGTACACCAACTCCTTCCAACGTTCACAGGCATGTCAGGACCTGGGAACCAGTCAGCTCCATTAACTTTTTTTTTTTTTTTAAAGCAGCAGCCTGCCTTGCATGCTGTCCCGTGAATAAGCCTGTACAAATGTGTTTGGTGACCCCCTGGGACAGCCTGAGCAGTGGTCCCCAAGACACCCCACCTGGCCTTCTCAAAGGCCTGCCCCACCAGCTACACAAAATGGGGAGACTAAGGGTCCAGCCTCCCCGCAACCCCCACCCCTAAAATCAACACCAGAAACCTGGCCTGTCCACCCCCACCCTCACAGGCCTTTCTGAACTACAAGCACGAGAGAGGCTGTGTGCCTCAATGTGAACGCGCTTCAGCTGTGTGTTGTGAGTGTGTGTTTGCGTGCACACACACAGGAACATATGGAAAAACAAGAGAGGGACAAGGGCTCAGAGCAGAAGGTGAGTCATCAGGCATTAACTTGTTTCTGCAAAGTATCCATCAACTGCTAATAAACTCGTGAGCGCTGGCAATCTTTGAACCCTCTTGCCGAGGGAGTTGGGCTCTGATGGCTGCTACACACCAAAGACCCAGAACAGCCACGTAAATAAAAACGCTCTGGCATCCAAGTTTGCTGGGGAGGATAAGGCACTCCTCTGCAAGGCAAGGGGCGCCTGCCCTCCCCTCCTGCTTGTCGGAGCGGGGAGAGTGTTTCAAACTGTAAGAAGTGCTATTATCCCAACTCGGGACAACAAACTGGCCTGGAAAGAAAGGAGTTGCTGGGAGGAAGGCAGAGGAGACCCTTGGCATGGTTCTCCCGAAACCTGGCATCCTCTCTAGCAGAGGGCTTGCTGGGGGGCGGGAGGGAGGAGGAGGAGGTCAGGGCGCTGAAGATCAAGTGGCCCCTGTACCAGGCCCCCGGGGCCTGCTGGGCCTCAGGGGGGCTGGGGAAGCTGGGTCGGTGGGGGCTGGGGCCTGATGTCCAGACAGTAGAGGGGGGAGGGACGGAGGGAGGGCATTCTGGTGGGTTTCTCTTTCATCTGTGCAGCCTGCCAGTCCACCCAGCAATTTGCTTCCAGACATCCCCTGCAAAGAGTCTCTTTCTGTGGAGGTGAATGGTCCAGCCCAGATAAACGGCAGCATGTGGGTGTCCCTGGATGTGAACAAGGCCCCCTGAAAGCCCACTGAAAGTGCCCTAAGTGGGGGGTTGGAGGACCCCCACACAACCCTCCCTTGTCACCCTGCAGTCCCCAGCACCCTGATACCTCTTCTCCTTGCTGCTCCTGAACTATAGCTCTGAGCACGAAAACAAGCTCTCACGCAAACCCTTTGCCAGAGGGTACACAGCACACGACTTAGGGGCGCAGTGCAATGCCCCAAATTGCCACTTCGGATTCCCCTCCTTAGCCCTGGACTCCCGGCATCTGGGCTCATTTCTGGGAAGTCCTCAGCAGCATCTTCAGAGAAACACAGTTCCCTGAACCAGGCCCGCAGCCCACAAGCATCTCCCCACAAAGGTCTCTGCAGACGCTCAGCTCCTGGGGCTTCCCAGGTCTCGAGGTGAGGAGTCAGGAGGGCCGTGCACAGAAAAACAAGTCCCCGCTGCCTCATTAGAAGGACCGAGGAAAGGTCTTCGTATCCTGGGGGCTGATACTTAACCTCCAAAGGCACAACTCAACGTCCCTTGTTAATTTCCCTCAGCTTTTATAACCTTTTCCGGTATTTTCAACAACTTCTCCCTCCTCAGAAAACTGTACAGGGGCTTGTCTTAAAACCGTATTTGTGCATTTTAAAGCATCCAAAAGAAAAGCTGTGTTGTAAAAAGCAAACTAATCAGAAGCCTGCTCACAATTTTTTCTTTTTATTACAGTGCAGGGAATTTCTGGAGCAACCCCAGAAAAGTGCTGAATCGGCCTAAAATTCCTTTAAGGTTGTCCCCACCCCCCTTCCCAATTTCCCTTTAAGCATAAAAATCTACCCTTTAAGAGGAAAAGGGGGGAGGCGGTGTGCAGAAGGGGAAGGACTTTGCCTCGTGTTTGCACTTGCATTAGGGAAGACCACTTAGCAAGGAGCTCCCTGCCTTGCACAAAGAGTTATTTAATTACCCTGGTCATGAATGAACAGACCAGACCCTTCTAGAAGACCAGAGGCTCATGAATGAATCTCATGCCTGGAATGGCAACGGCACAGGGTGACCAGACCTCAAGGCCATATGGTAGGTAAGAGAGGAATTTTTTATTTGAAGATGTGAGGAGATGATGAAGAAAAGAAAAAACTGGAGGGGCAGAGAAAAGGCCAAGTTCAGGGCCTCAATGGTACCATGTCCAGTCTCCAGCTTAGGAAGGTGACCATAACGCCAGAGAGGCAGAGCTGTTCCAAAGCACCCAGGGGGATTCTGTGAATATCTGAAGTGAGGCCACCGCACCCGAGCTGGGTCCACACACAGAAGCGGTACTGATGGGCGGGGGGGGGGGGGGGGGGGTCTGAATTTTCACACCAAGGATGATCTTGGGAAACTGAGACAACACAGAGTCACAGCAGCAGGCACCCACTGAGCCCGACGTGGGCTGGAATGCTCCTCTCTGAGAGGCACTTGGGTTATAAAGAAATTAACCTCTCTTATCCAACATTCTCGTTACCCAACTGTGGGATGGGTCTGCGAGCCACCGCCTCCCGCCCCGTCCCGCCCCTGCAGTGGTCCAGCGGAGCAGGCAGCTGGGGATGGAACCCAGGCCGCGGAGGGCAACCCTGGGACGCAAACATGGCCACGCCTCGCCCTCTCAGGTCCAGGGTCCTCCCTCCTCGGGACTCCCGGCGCCACCGAGGGCTGCCTCATCCTGTCCTCCCCCTAAGCAGTCATCCCAAAGGTTAACAGCTCCCGTCAGCCTGGGTCCCCACCCTGGGCAGGAAACTGGCTGTTCTGAGAGCGGTCAGCCCACTCCAGGGACAAGGACTGAGATAATAGTGCCAACCCATCCCATCCAATCTCACCCCCAGCACAATTAACGAAAAGTTTCTCACTGGTTTTCCGTTTTCAGGAAGCAAATGGCCCAAAAACTAAAGCAAACACATAAACGCTTGCTGCGCCGTCTGAGCTCAATCTGGGTTCTGGGGTCAGCTCTAATCAGCCACGTTTACAACCTCATCCGGAACTCGAGAGATGACGTCAGAGCCGCTCCCCTAGACTCTGGGGGCAGCAAAGACAGCTCTGGGGGTTAGCACAAGCTCCCCATGAAGGTTGAAACTAATTCAAAATGTTTCAGGTTAACTCTCAGGTACCCGGAAAACGCTGAGTCCAGACCCATCACCACCACCCCAAGCTCTTGCATCAAAGGGATCAAGAATGAATTCTGGCTGGAAGAAGGTAGAAGGAAAAAGTTGGATTTTTTTTTCCTTCTCAGAGCTCGGCAATGAGGTTCTCCACTGAGGTGGCTGGACTTGGGGATGGGCAGGAGGTCCCAACGCCTCTCCTTCAAGGGCCAGGGCGCTTCTTCAGATCTCTGGG